TTAAGGCCAGCGGCTCACAAAGTAGAATTTTTGCGCACGAGACGCCACATCTTAGAGGGAAGCATTGGCCGGCAGCCATTGAAGTATCCTCCAGGAATCTATCTAGTCCCCTTTTAAAGTGGCTTATTCCTGTGGTCAAAAAAAATCTGGACACACACGACCCAATCAGTTAAACCAGTATAAAGCCAAAAGTCGTGATAGTCTGACCCACAATCAAACAGTCCTAAGACTTATAAAGAATGCTGTTTATGTATTGCAATCTAAAGCACTACAACATGATACACAACTCAATAGGAAATCCTTGAACCAAGGTACATAATCAATTACATAACGACGTTTCAAAAAAATGGATCTTCTTCAGGAGATATTATAGTGGTGCCAAAGCTCTCAGTTTCATAAGTGCTAGACAACAAGTCTTAAGAATATTAAATTCAGATAGGACGCTGATCTCAATTAACATTCAGGCTCAAAATGTGCTGCTGTGTTTCTACCGGATCTCGGGCGTCTCATTGATTTGTGTATCATGTTGTAGTGCTTTAGATTGCCATACATAGATAGCATTCTTTATCAGTCTTATGACTGCTTGATTGTGGGTCAGACTATCACGACTGTTGGCTTTATACTTGTTTAGCTTATTCCCGTGGTCGTCACGGCACGCTCTGGCAGGGAATCCCAAATTTTGATCACTCTCTGCTGTAAAGCAGTGTTTCTTTTTGTCTGTCCTGAACCTACTGCCCGTCTGCCCTGGAGTTCCAGCCTTTTGGGAGAGGGAGAAAAGGTTTTCGTTGCCAGCTCTCTCAGTGGCAGAGGAAACTGGCTCCCGGGCAGGACTTCGCTGCTTTCCCACCCCTACAAATCCCCCTCCATGGAGTGGGCTGGTTTACTTCTCCGGTAGCCAGCTCCCAGTGGGGAAATACCTGGAGATTTTAGGGGTGCAGACCAGGGAGGGCGGGCTTAGGAAAGGGGGAGGGACCTCATTGGGGTACGACGCCACGGAGTCCGCCCTCCAAAGCAGCCCTTTTTCTCTAGGGGAGCAGATCTCTGTCATCTGGAGATCGATTGTAATAGCGGGAGATCTCCAGGCCCCACCTGGCAAGTGGCAACCCTGCCTGCTTCTTCTCCCCCTCCCCACCTTTGACTCCCAATTGCTGTGTTCCCTCTAAGCTGAGTCAGTGTGAGCCAGCTCACAGTTTTCTAGCCTCCGGCTCACGCATTTTTGTCTTCGCTCAGGAAGGAGGGCTCCAGAGCCAAACTAATGTATGCAGCAGCCCAATCGCTCGCTCACAGCTTTAACACCAGGAGCTCACAAAGTAGAACCTTTGCTCACAGGACTCCTCAGCTTAGAGGAAGCATTGGCCAGTGTTCCCTCTAAGCTGAGCTAGTGTGAGCCAGCTCACAGTTTTCTAGCCTCCGGCTCACACATTTTTGTCTTCGCTCGGGAAGGATGGCTCCAGAGCCAAACTGACGTATGCAACCCAATCGCTCGCTCACAACTTTAATGGCAGGAGCTCACAAAGTAGAACCTTGGCTCACAGGACTCCACAGCTTAGAGGGAGCATTGGCCAGTGTTCCCTCTAAGCTGAGTCAGTGTGAGCCAGCTCACAGTTTTCTAGCCTCCGGCTCACAGATTTTTGTCTTCGCTCAGGAAGGGAGGGCTGCAGAGCAAAACTAAGATATGCAGCAGCCCAACTGCTCGCTGAAAACTTTAATGCCAGGAGCTCATGAAGTAGAACCTTTGCCCACAAGGCCCCACAGCTTAGAGGGAGCCTTGCTTCCAAGCAAGGCTGGAGGGGCTGAAAACGAGACAGATGTTGTGCGCCTGCAACTGGTCCTTTGGAAAAGGAATGCAAAACAGGGAGAGACACACCCCCGCCCCAAGAGCACAGACACAGGATGCCTAAGCCAGGGACCGATCCTGCCTTCCCTTCCCCCTTGCGGGTCATCGTTGACAGCTGCTGTGCGCTCGGCCCCCCCCCCCCCCCCCCCCCCCACCCCCCCGCTACCATGTCATATCGTTTTTCCGCCCCCCCCCGCAGTCTCCCCCCCCATCCTTTTGCTTTGCCCCACAATTGGGTACCACTTCCCGCCTGCAACTAATTTTCCATCTGCACGAACATCTGAGAGGAATTTGCCCTCCATGAAACGGGATATACACAAACACACACAAACACATCATGTGCGTCTCTCTCTCTCTCTCTCGGTCCAGGGGAGGGGGGCTTTGCTGCCGACCGCCCAGTGCCCCCTAGTGGCCAGAGGAGCCCCGCCTCGCTCAGAGCGTTCAAAAGGGATTCCAGTTCCAGAGGCTGCTTGTTTCAGCTTGTGAAACTCCTGAAAAAACGAGGATAATTTATGGCAGCGCTAGCTGATCTGTGAACCCTACGATGCGCTTCCGGGAAGATTAAGCTCCCATAAAACTCTTTTATTTGGTTTTAATCTTCCGGGCATGTTCAAACACATGTAGCTTGAACTGTGGTCACTGTAGAAGAACCGGTGGTTTGGTCAGGACTAGCGTCTTCGCCCTTGGATTGCACATGAGCCATACTGATTCCCCCTGTCTGTGTCAGAGGCTGCTCGGCACAGCTCTGACTGGCTAGAACCAGTGCAGTTACTAACCCGCCCCCCCCCGCCATTGAGGTTTATTTTTACATTTAAAAGAATCTGTTGGTAATCTGACAATTACCATGTCAGATTACATCAGGGAAGCCATTGAAAGACATAAAAATAAACACAATTTCAACAGGGAAGAAGAGAGTTTAAAAATATATAGGGCATGGTTTCCTGTCCTCAAAAACACGAAATGCTCTACATCTTACATTAGCACTACAGATCAGATTAGAACTTCCAACAGCCGATCCACATGTAAAAGAACCTTCTCAGAAAACAGGAAACCTCCTCAGGAAAGCTCCTCCATTACCATGTTCATAGCCTGGGGAACTCCTACAAGATAATGACTCAGCCCTACCCCACCTTCTGGAGTAGATATAAATTACCTGCCTCCCATTTTTCTTTTCACCTTGACACAGAGAGTACGCCATCTTTCGGTGTGATACCTCTGAGGGTGCCAGTCACAGCTGCTGGCGAAATGTCAGGTCCTACAATGCCAAGACCACGCCCACACAGCCCGGGAAATCTATCACAGCTAATGAACTCCGGCCATGAAAGCCTTCGCCAACATATTTAATCTGTTTGTTTGAGAGCCAGTTTGGTGTAGTGGTGAAGTGTGCGGACTCTAATCTGGGAGAACCGGGTTTGATTCCCCATTCCTCCACCCGCAGCTGCTGGATGACCTTGGGCAAGCCGTAGTTCTGATAAGAGCTGTTCTTGAAAAGAGCAGTTTCTGTCAGAGCTCTCTCAGCCCCACCGTACCTCCCAGGGTGTCTGTTGTGGGGAGGGGAAGGGAAAGGAGTCTGTAAGCCGCTCTGAGACTCTGAGTGAAGGGAGGGGTATAAATCCGATCTCCTCCTCCTCTGTTACCAAAGAAAAGAAGAAGATTTATAGTGGAGCAAATGTACATATGGCACTTAAAAAAAAAAGTTAGACAGCCACTCTAAAACTGAGGAAGACGGGCCAAAATGTGGAAACAAAAAATATATTTTTTAAAAAGGAAGGCAGGCCAAAACAGACCACTGAACAAGAATGCAATTGGCTGGTCAACATATCTGTCCAAGAGGGCTGCAAAGGCAGTGGGGGAAGGGAACAGCACAAGCCGCGGCACCTTCTAATCGGTAGGTAAAGACGCAGACACAAAATGCAGCGACGCACACGGAAAGAAATTCGGGGTGCGCTTTGCACTGCGATGACAGTTTATAAAGTCACTGCCAGCATGGATAAAGTGCAGAAAAGGGCAACTAGAATGATAAAAAGGGTTGGAACACTTTCCCTATGAAGAAAGGTTAAAGCGCCTGAGACTCTTTAGCCTGGAGAAACGACGACTGAGGGGTGATACGATCGAGGTTTATAAGATTATGCCTGGGATAGA